GATGGCCACTATGGCCCCTTTACATTCATAAGCATGTTCGGAAGCGTGTTCGGAAGCGGCCGCGTTATTATCCGGCGGTCGTACGTTCTTCCGAACCACAATTATCTGAATAAAGTTCTACATTCTCAGAATTGCTTCTAAAGAAGTCACTGATTAATATTGATAAGAGATATATATTAATTATAACTGATTAGAATATATTACTTTCAACTGCTGATCAGTCTATATATCTTCTTATTTAAAAGAATGATTAACACTGACATTTCATATCAATTATATTACACTGAAGAAAGATTTGAAAGATAACTATAAGATATCTCAATGAAACAGAGAAAAGATTAACTTCTGTTCAAAGTTATAAACAGAAGCTTGAAGAGATTGAATGATAATGATTTAAGAGAAAATAGCAATGAATGAAATTCTTGTATCTACTGTCATTAATAATATATATAATATGAAACTCATGATAGATAGCAGTCTATATTATTATACAATGATTAAATCTTCAGTTGTAAGATATTATAATCTTTAGTGTATTCTCTTATCAAAACTCTGACTTCTTACAGAATTTGATGATTTAAAAGACATTCACACTCATTACATAATGAAACTAAACATAGATATTGAAGAATATCAATGTAAAGATACTTACATGTATAAAGTTAATAATCTTAATTATAATCTTATACTAGAACTTATCTGACTATCTTAATAAGACATCTTATTGAATGCTTAAAACAGAAGCTTCATATTCTCTAACAATGATAGAATTCATGAAGATGATATTCATAAGACTATGAATCTTACACAGATCTCTGTCAACACTTATAAAATACTTTGAAAAAGAAGTCATTAATAAGACTGCTGACAAAGTTATTAACAGTATAATTATATAGTAATCTATGTCGGAATGAGTGTCACGGATGAATATGTTGATGACATATGAATCTTATGTGTATCAAGATCTGCTTGTTATATTATCTGTACACTATCTAATATATCTATTTCATACAAAAGATAGAGCTATTTATAGTAAAATATATGTGTGAGCCAAGAGAGCTAGCATAAGTGAGTATTAGATGAGTGTTGTAGTAAGCTGATGATGATGAGAAATATTGTAGTAATATGATGTTGGTGATATTCAGTAGTGTATAACCTCTTTTTCCTGACACACTCTCTTCAGCAAATGTAACATGTAAATGAAAGTATAAATGAAAGTGTAAATGAAGCTGCAATAAAAAGAGTGTAGATGAATCTATAGAGATTACATCAAGATAGATTATTTATTCTGCTTGCGCCTCAATGATATCTGATATATCAACTAGGCCTAGTATCTTGACAAATTCTGTATGTTTCTGGTGTGGCAGAGCCTTAGTGAGGCCATCCGCTGGTATCTGAGCTGTAGGCACCCAATCAACTGTAATATCGCTGGATTGAACACATTCTCAGAGCCAGCTTCCATATATATCAACATGGTGAAGCTTTGTGATTATAGAGGGGTCTTTCTTTGTAAGAATGTCAACAGTTTGATGATTATCACATTGAATATGAATCTTGTGACCAGGTTCAAATTGAATATATTGAAAGAACCTATCTCATCAGATAGACTTCTTGTCAGCTCATGAGATAGCAACAAGCTCAGCTTCTGTGATAGATGTAGTTATGATTGTCTGTCTATTTGATTTTCAATCAACAGCCTCACTGAATAGTTTGAAGATATATTCTTGTATAGAGCAGTGATTCAGATTATCTGTGAAAGAGGCATCACTGACGGCTTTGATAATATCAGGTTTGAGATTAAGTTGTAGAGATCTGTCAATGTTACCATTATATTGAATAGCAAGATTCTTCATATTGTATAGATAAGATATCATTCTATTCATCTCTGATGAGTGATGTTCTGATGAATTCATCATGAACATAGCTAGTTTACTCACTGCATATGCAATATCAGAGTGAGTCATCACTGCTGAGTAGATGCAGAAGCTGATACATTGTTGATAATGATGAATTTTTGTGGATATAGCTGACTCATTAAAAGGCTCTAACAGAGCATCAGTTAGTGAGGTATATGCCTTGTGAGTGTGTGTGAGATGATATGTATCAACTATCTTATCAATATAGGCATTCTGACATAATCAGAGCTTCAAGTTGAGGCAATCGCGTATTATTTGCATGTTGAGAAATCATTTCAAATCTCTCATCTGTCAGATCTTGTAGGCATTTTTAAGATCTTTGATTAGTTGATCTCTTTCTTTTGAATCTTCTCATCACAATAGGATGATGATATCATTCATATAGAAGAAGATGATTAATCAATCATTAGAGAAGAGACATCAATCCTCTGACATAGAGATGAAGCCTAGTGTTCTCAATGTTGAAGATAGTTCATTTAACCAGAGAAGAGATGATCTGTATAATCTATATAGTGCTCATAGAAGTTTTACTACATGATTTGTATACTTCAAATTTTGCATTCTCTTCAACTTTTATCATTCATCAGATAGTTTCACATATACTAGCTCATCAATATCACTATTAATGAAGACATTGATTTCATCTAGCTGTTCTGCATCTAGATCAAATGCTGCTGTTAAAGCTAACAAGATTCAGAGATCTCTGGCAGCTAGTGTGTGAGCTTTTGTAGTGAGATCTGTGATTGGTTGAAGATCTCTGTGTATGCAGATGCGAGCTTTGTATTTCAAAAGAAAACCTTCATCATTGAATTTGTAGATGAATACTCATTATAGAGAAATAACTGAGATGTCTCTCTGTGATCTGCTAGTAATTTCATATGTATTCTGCAGAGATATACTATTTCATTCTCACTTGACAGCATTCTCAAATTCTTCATAATGTGGATATTTTTCAACATCTGTTCAGTGATTCAGTGAATCTGGCAGTTGAGATCTATGGATTCTTGAAGTCAGTATGAATACTGTTGATGTAGCTGTATTGTTGATAACAGTAAAAACAGTATTAGGAAATAAATTTTGAGACTTGTTAAAGTCTGTGTGTGAATGTGAATGAGAGAATGCATCATTGATCATTTAATAAGAATTGTCTTTGACATTTTCAACTGTTACAAGATGAGCAGCTCTGCATTTTCATGTTCTGCAGCCTTCAATGATATTAGCTTCATCAAAATCAGCACTGATATCATGAGCTCTAGGTGCAGTGTTCTGTGTTCAATTATCTATCACAGCTGAATGAGTATTAATATCAACATTGAGACCTGTTGGCTCTGACGTTGAATCTGGTGTAGAAAGATGCTCATTATTTTCCTTCTCTATTTTTTCAGAGCTTTGAGTATTTTCTTCAGAGTGGAAAACATCAATATCTGCATCTACAATCTCTTTCAATTGATTGATAGAAGTCATTGATGGTTCTCAAACTTTCATATATAGAAGCTTCACCTTCTTAGATACTCAATCTCTTAGTTGTCTTTCAATGTAGGGATCTTCTGGATTGAATTTTCTATTCTCATCAAACATCACATCTCTTGCTCTTATCACCTGTTCTAAGTGTGGAATTCAAATTTGATAGATGTTTGTAGAATCATATTCAACTAGATATTCAATATATGCTCAGAGATCTAGCTTCTGAGAGTGGTTTCTATTGAGGACTTCATCCGGTATCTTTGCATAGGTGTGACATCTGTAGATTTGAAGATGAGCACAGAAGTAAGGTTTAATTTGTAGAAATTCTTTCAATACTTGTAGAGATGACTTTCAATCTAGAATTCTAATAGAGGTTTGATTCACTAGATAGGTGACAGTAAGTGTGATCTCAGAGAAAAGTGATTATGACAGAAGAGATTCTATCTGTAGAGTTCTAGTCTTTGTTATTAATATTGCTTCTGCTCACTCTACTGCATCATTTTGCTCATGAATATACTCTGAAGAATACTCCATCTCTAGGCCTTCATCATTCACTCAATTTGTGAAGTCATCTGCTTCCTTGACTGCAGTATCATTGTCAATACAAATGATCTTTATAGTACAGTTGAATTGACATTTAATTCAATTGATAGCTTGCCTAAGAGCTTTTCAGATTTCTGATTTTCAGATAGCTGTTATAGCTATATGGAAACATAGATAATCACACATGAAATGTATGAGATAACACTCACCATTATAGCACTGTGTAGAGTCATGTGTGATATCCGCGTGTAGGCATTCGAATGGTATTTGAGATCTAACATGGGGACATCTAGATATTTGATTTTTTGTATTAGATAGATGACAGGGTTTGCAAAGCTCAGTGGTAAGCTCATCTGCAGTGTCTTCTAGATTGGTGATTTGAATGCCAGTTGCATCATTTACAAGCTTTTGAATGGCGATTTTTGATGAATGTTCTAATCTCTTATACCATGTAAACTGAGTAGCTATAGAGATCTTAGATTTTTGAGAAGGTTTTGTGTGTATTGACAGGTTGAAAGAATGATTTGTTGAAGTGTGTTTTGACAGATTAGAAGAAGAATTTGAAGATATCATTTTTTCAGATATAGTGATATTAGAAGTGTGTGATGTGATAGCTGCTGCAGCTTCAGTAGTTGATTTTTCCAAGATAGTTGAATAAACAGCTGTTTCACTATTATATTCTGTAACTAGCAACCTCTCAAATACTTCAACGCGTGCAAAGATTGTATTATCTGTGTGTTTTCACAATCTGAAGTCTTTTCCATCATAATAGATGCCTTCTATATGGAAACACAGTTTCCATGTGATGATATTTGTATGAAAATTCAGTATGTAAGCTGTGTTGATGAGATTGACATTGAACTGCTTTCCTGCTTCATTTATCATGATAGTTCTAACAGTTTCATAATCTTCAACTTTAGTGCTGGAATTGTCTGTATAGACTTCCGCATTCTCATTCGCAGGTGTAAAGAATAGGAAATGTGTTTGATTATTGCATATATGCTGTTTCATGCCAGTATCAAAGATCCAGGAGTTTCAGAGGTAGAAGTGTGAATTTGAAGAGTTCATTGATATTTTTCAGATCTGCTGATTAATAGATTGATGATCAATAGATTGATGATCAATAGATTGATAATTGATAGATTGAGAAACTGATTGCTTCAGAATCATTCCTTCTAGAACTGCTTCATTGACATCTACTATATCTGTATTTGTGGATGATTCTCTAGATATTGCACGATCAATATGTCTCTTCAATTCTTGATTTTTAAGAGCTTGATCAATCTGAGTTCTCTTCTCCTCATTTTTCTTCCATCCAGGTAGCTTCCTTGATGGATTGAGATAGTAGCACTGGGTGTATCAGTGACAGGCTCCACAGATGCAGTTTCCAAATGTTGCTGGTGATGATTGCTGAGATCTTTCATTAAGAGTAGTGAAGTTCATAGGTTTATCTTCTTTAAGAATACTCATTTCCCTATATCATTTCTTGAAGTCCTTAACTAACTCTATCAAAGATATGACATCTTTATCATGTCAGACATTCTTAGTCCATGCTTGTACATAACCTGCATCAATAGCTAGATTCACATTTAAGAAGTCTTTCTTCAAGTTGAACTGTCCAGCTATATCTGCCTCTTTGATATCATCTTTGATGAGTGATCAGTCATTTAATCACTTCTCTATACCTCTGTTTTTCAGTGCTTTGCAGAGATCATGATATTGAGTTCTCACATCATCTTGATAGTCCGCGGTTGTGGGGGAGAGACAATCTCTTAATGAACAGATAATGTTCTTTACATCATCATTCTCACTGTGTACATGTCATAGCTCTGTGGCATTCACTGTTCTTCATATGACATCTCATATCTTTGTCATACCTTCATTCAATTTCTCATATTTCATATATTTGATTTTCCACGCAGTGACCTTGATGTCATATGCTATCTTGGCCTCCGCGGTGGCCTCTTCTGGACACTCGGGTTCCAGAGGTTCTTCTAGTTCAGAGAAGATATCAGGTTTGTCAAGATTGATGAAGTCTGATACCTTCTTGTCCTTTGCATATTCTAGCATATGCTTGTACCAAAGTTTCCAATCTCCAGGAATGCTAAGGTGTACAGTTGCACTAGACATTGTCTTGTCTGTCATATCAGTTATATTGAATGAATTGAGGAATCAGTTCAAGTATTTGAGAATAGATATGGTCAGAATTCAGAGTGTATAACAGTCAAGTATATTGAAATGTATATGAGTGAGGATCTATTGTCTCAGTTCGAATGATAGTTATCAGTTTGAATGGGAATTGAGATCATGAATCAGGTATAACGGTTGAGTAGATCATACTGTATACAAATGAGGATCAATCGTCTCAGTTCAAATGATTGTTGTCAAATTTGAATGAGGATTGGGATCAGTGTTTCGCGCTTCTCTTCAGATACTGCTTACCAGGCTCATAACTGTTGAAATGAGTGTCACGGATGAATATGTTGATGACATATGAATCTTATGTGTATCAAGATCTGCTTGTTATATTATTCATACACTATCTAATATATCTATTTCATACAAAAGATAGAGCTATTTATAGTAAAATATATGTGTGAGCCAAGAGAGCTAGCATAAGCGAGTATTAGATGAGCGTTGTAGTAAGCTGATGATGATGAGAAATATTGTAGTAATATGATGTTGATGGCGTTCAGTAGTGTATAACCTCTTTTTCCTGACAATCTATTTCATCAGTCTGACTGATATCAAGAAAGCTCTAGAAAAGTTATTTCATGCTACAATAACAGATTCTCATACAAAATTCTCTTAATAATATCATGAATATCTAGATATCTTCTGACAAGATAATATTATGAATATATCTTTCTTATGAGATTCAGAAGTGAATCACAGTATCAAGTTAGAAAAGAAGAATAATAAGATCTCTGAGTCATCATAAGACTCTCTTTATAATATGTCTCAAGATAAACTTCTTCTTCTTCAGAAGATACTTACTAATCTATTAAATAAGAAATTTATATATATTAGTAACTCTTTCACTGCAGCTTCTATTCTCTTTACAAAGAAATCAGATAAAGAACTCTGATTCTGTGTGAACTATTAAGATGTGAACTGATTGATAAAGAAAGATTATTATTCTCTATCTCTTATCAATAAAACTCTAGCATATATTAGATGAGATTAATAATTTACAAAGCTAGATATTATTATCATGTTTTATAAGATTTATATCACTGAAGAAGAGGAATGAGTTACAGTATTATGAACATATTATAGTCTTTTTGAATGAGTAGTCACACTCTTTAAACTGGTTAATACTCTCAGTATATTTCAGAAGTATATCAACTGAGCACTCTGAGATTTTCTTAATAAGTTTGAATCTGTATATATAGATAACATTCTCATCTTCACTGATGAATTCAGAAAGAAACATCAGAAATATATACAGAGAGTATTATAATAAGTATAAGAAGCAGAACTATTAATAGATATTAACAAGTATGATTTTAAAGTCATGAGTATAAAATACCTAGGTTTTATCATAGAAGCTGATAAGAGAATTTGAATGAATTCTGAGAAGATCTTTATTATTCTTGAATGAGAAGCTTCACATACTGTGAAAGATGTATAAAGCTTCATTAGATTTACTAACTTCTATTAGTCATTTATACAAAACTTCTCAGATATTATAAGATCACTTACAGAACTTATTAAAAAGAACTCAGTATTTCAGTAATTAGTAGATGCTGAAGCTGTATTTATACAGATAAAGAGAATATTTATTAATATCTCTCTATTGATCACATTTAATTCTGATTATAAGACAGTTATCAAAGTTGACTTCTCTGACTACATTCTAGAAGAAGCTATATTGTAATATAATAATAAAGAAATCTTATAATTATATAGCTTCATATCTAAGAATCTGAGTGTCACTGAATACAATTATAAGATCTATGATAAGAAACTTCTTACAATTGTATACTGTCTAGAAGAATGAGATTCTGAACTCTGAAATGTCTTTAAATTAGAGATAATCATAGATTATAAGAATCTCAAGTATTTTACAATTATCTACAAGCTTACTGAATGTCAGATATGATAATTCAAGCTATTAAGTTATTTTCAATTCACTATACACTATCATCTCAGCAGTCAGAACTTAATAACAGATGCTCACTTATAGTGAGAGTAAGATATACCTTCTGATATAACAGCTACTTATTGAATGAACTGAGAACACTCACTTCTAGATCTGAAGATATTCATTGATGAAAATAAAACAAGTTATAGCACTATACATACTTCTCTGATTAGAACACTCTCTCTCTAAACTGTCACTGACACTGATACTGATACTGACACTGATACTGACACTGATATCTCAACTTCTTCTGAATCTACACTGAATGAATTATAATATATAACAGTTTAAACTGATGAACTTCTTCAAGTACTCACTGAAGCAGTATATTAAGAAGCACTCTGATTTCTCTCAGAACTATGTGTAAGAACTAACATCTCAGAATACTCAATTAATGATAATAATACTCTGTGATTTTATAAATAACATTGAGTTTCTCACTCTAAATTCTTACACATCTGAATAATGCAAGAGATGCATGATTCACATATAACTGATTACTCAGGTATGAATAATTATATGATATAATCTCTCAACAGTTCTACTAATCTGAGTTATTAAATAGTATCAGACATTTCATTTGAAACTGTAACTATTATTCTTTCATCATCTTGTGAAAGAACTGTAGAAAAGATCTACTGAAATCACTTAATATCTCTGATAGAATCTGATAAGATGTAGTAATTAACTTCACTATTAATCTCTCTGAGAGCAAGAATTGTAGAAATATTCTGATCATTGTGAACTGATTAAGTAAAGATATAATATTAAAATCTTATAATAAGATGAATACTGAATAAGTTACTGAAGTCTTTCTACAGAGTCTGTTCTATCAGATGCATAAATTATCAACATCTATAGTCTTAGATCAGAAGTGTCAATTTGTAAGTACTCTCTGAACAAGAATCTGTCAAGTTCTCAAGATTATATACTGTTTATCAACTGTCTATCACTCTGAGACTGATATTACATCAGAATAAATAATTCAGACTGTAAAGATCTATCTATATAAGTTCTATAATTATTTATAGAATGATTGATATAATCTTCTTCTACACACAGAGATCACTATCAATAATCAAGATACTGTTTCAACAGATATAAACCTGTTCTTTCTTATACACATTTATCATATAAAAGTGTTAAATCTTCTAGAGATAACACAGTTCACACTGAACTCTCACAGTTCAATTCAGAGCACTAATAATATAGTAATAACGCTTTAAGATATCTGTAACTAAGCAGAAGCCTTCATAATAAGTATTAAATAAGATTAAGAAGATTGAATTAATGTTCACTGAGATTCTACTGAGTAATATAAGATAGAAGATCTGATATGATTAAATCTCAAGAATATACAGATTATATACTCATCTCATATACTAGATTATTACTATGTTAAGTATAAAGTGATAGAAGTTCTAGATAGTTATAACTACTGTCTTAACACATTATCAGAGATTTATAATGTCTTTTATATAAGCTTACTCTGTCACACTATTATCAATCTGTTTTCTTCTCAACTAACTTTCAACTGACAGCTGTCAGAGATCATAGAAGAAGATAATGAACTTGAATGAGAGATTGAAGATATTCTTGATAAGAGATTCTATGACTGCAGCTGATAATATCTTGTGAAATGAGTCAGCTATAATCATCTGATCTGAACTCTGAGCTCTGTATTATCTGAGACAGCAGCTCTGGCCTGATGAGAACTACATACTCACAACTCTATATCACTTCTGAAAAGAGAGGGCTAATGTGACAGGCTGCACTCAATCAATTACATACACTATTTCATTATACTTCACAGATTTCACTGAAAGCTCTGATTCTCAGTCATCAATTCTCAGTTAAAAAGCTTCAATTCTCAGTCACTGATTCTCAGTTAAAAAGTCATGGAATTTCTATTCTTCCGCCTCAAAGCTTCACTGCATATGCATATAAATATTCACTTTAATTGCTGATTTCTGCATCTTCTCTTTCTTTCCTTTTCTAATGTTGTTCACTTTGGATTATAAGACCTATATATTACACTGATCTATTCGGCGTAGGCTTCTTACAAGAATAATCTATATAATTCAAGTTCTGTAAGTGAGATAACTTGTATGAAGTTGAAAATAATAAAACTTCAACAGAAAATTAAACAGATAAAAACTAGCAGAGTGAGTGAGACTCTGACTGATACTGATAACACTGTCAGTACAGATCTGATACAGTTTCTATAGAAATAAGAAAGAATATCTACCCTGATGAAGATTCTGAGAGAACTTCAAGATCAGATTAAGTATATCAGAAAATCAGTTACTCTTACAGACTCTGAGAACTATTCAATATAAAAGAAAGAGATCTTACTGACTGTGAAGCAATTCTACACAGTTAATATTATTAATATCAAGTAAATCAGTTCTATGAAGAATATAAGTAATAATATACAATGATTTTGAAAAGAATTTAACATATAACTGTATAATTATATGTGATTCATAATTGCTTCACAGATAAAATCTCATTTTACAGTATTAAATAAATTCAAGCTATCTGTCTATACTTTATAAAAGATTATAGAGAACAATTTCACTGAAAGACCTGCTGTTAAAAGAATGAGACTATATAGAGAAATTATAACTCTATCTGTTAAGACTAAGAGCTCTGATCAGATCTTTATTAAATATTTAATTATCATTTAAACTGAATATATATATCTAGAGTTTAAGACTGAGAACTGTAACATGGCGGAACCGAAACAGTGACTAGTCAGTGATGTCATATAGAGATAGTTGTTTGAGAAGCTGTATAAGTAAGCTTGACTGTCTTGCTTAAATAGTGAGCTTGTAGACTACAGGGTTATTGTGAGAATATCACAGATATGATACTTAGTATACTAAGAAGATTGTATAAGAAACACAGTAACTCTTGTATATATTTCATTAGAAGAAAAACAAATCACTGACTTCTTTAATGAGAAGTCAGCATCTAGCTATTCTATATAGACAATGAG